GATGGCACCTGAGGGCAGGGCCCAGGCTTATCTGCCGGCACTGTCAGCATTCATCACAGACTGACCAGTCTCCCATCGCTCTGAGCACTCAAGCCACTCCCCAGATTGAGTTCATTCTCCTTAATTCACCCAAAGAAGAAAGCCAAGCAAGCAGGAACTGATCAAGTAAGAACAGGTGTCCAAAACAAGCCAGTCCAAGAACTGTTGGCAGCAGGTGGCGGATAGCCAGGAAGACTCCTTAAGCAGAGTGAGTCAGAGATGAAGGGAATGGTGGCCCTGGAATGGGGAGAGCAGAGGTCAGGCAGGGCCTTCCCGGGGGTGCAGACAGCACAGGTAAAGGCACGGTCTGAAGGTGCCTGCCCCAGCACTGAGACACTCATACCTTCATCCTTCAAATGTTTGTGATCCACTGTGTACAAAGCAAGTTAAACAGTTCCCCTGCTCTGCCGATTAAATTCCACAAAGGAAGAGGGCCAATAAGCAGCAAACAAGAACTCCCAACAGAGAAGGATGCTAGAAGTAAACAGTGTTTACTTCAATAAAAGGAAGGAGTTGGTGCAGAACCTAATCCCTAGACATGTTAAACAGGTGTTTCTCAAACAAACGTGAGGCATGCTTAAACAAAGAAAAACCAGTGTTTCATGCAGGACCTCTCAAACCCATGGATATACTACTGGATGTTGTGACTTGCCAGTGGGGGCTAAATGGTTGCAATACTTGTCAAACTGGCTTTATGGATAGAAGGAAAGACAGTGAGTGGTTGGGGTCCTAGGTGAGGATCCAGAGGGCCTGACATCCAATGGGGTCATTCAAAATAAGGTCATTCCAGACACATAGCTGCTCTTGTGGGCTGAGCAGCTGCCTCCTGCACTATCCCAGGCCTCCTCGGTGGAAATGCAGGCCCCAGCCCCTGGAAGCCCTTCCCCTGCATAGGAGCTCATGCCATAATCTTTCTAGAAACAGAGGCCACCCCTGGGCTATGGAGCAATGATCCAGTCTTGGCAAATAGACAGGCCGCTCGCCCACTGGTTCTTGGCAAACTGCTAAGGAAGGACTGGAGCCTCCTGAGAGCTCATAATGGAATCAGTTCGCTTTCCCAGGGGGCTCTAAACTTTGTCCCATGGGCTGCTGGGATCCTCCAAAGTGGCTTACCAGACACCAATGAGGTCATGAGGAACTAAAGGCCTGGGGTTTCTGCCTCATCGCTGTCAGCAGAGGACCGTCTCCTCCACCAAGTCTCTTTACTGTAGGACTTGTCTGATATTTAAAAGAAAAGTACATTTCCACCATACCTCCTGCCCCCTCACACGTACAAACTGCCACCTCCTAAACTCTTCTCCCTTACTAAGTCTTCTGCCTTTCCCATACCTTTGGTAGATGCTCTTCCTCCTCCAGCCCTGAAGCGAGAGATGGAGGAGAAAACTGAGGCCCAGTGGTGCAGCAGGGGGCAGAGCAAGGGTGACATGAGAAGTCCTGCATCTGCCACTCCCTGTTCAGATGTGCCCTTCAACAACCACCCCGCTTCCCTCCTCGCAGCCCAAGCCCTCCGTTGTGTCAGTGTTTGCAAGTGGAACAATCCAATACAGGGCACATAATTCATAGGATTATTTTATAATAGTCACCCAAAGAGTACAAAAGAATGCAGGAAATCTGTCCACACTGAAGACCCAAAGAATCCAGCTGAGGGCCTGGATCCCACGGAAATGTCCTGCATGAGTCCAGCTGAAGACCTAGAGCCCATAACAATGCCCCCTACAAGTCCAACTGGAGGCTAAGAGCCCATGACAATATCTCCTGCAGGCCTCTTTCAAGGATCTGTTCTGGGAAAGCCCAAAGGTCAGTGATGGAAACTAGAAAGTCTGTGCCAGTGAGGTGAAGGATCTGTACCAGCAGCCTGAGGGATATGCACTGGAGACAGGAAGTGATGCTCAAGGTAAGGACCAGAGCTCCCCTGAAAGGTACTACAGCCATCCTCAGTGACAAGGAGATTCCAAGCTCCTCGACAATAAGAACAGCTGAGTTCATATCAGGAAAGCCAGAATGACAAGCTCCTCCAGGAGAACCAACAGCCCCCCTCCTTCTTCCTGTCCAGTATTTTTTATGCTGTTGGCAACAATCCTCAGGTGGGCCCTCCACACCCAGCAGCACACTGATTCAATTCAGCTGGGTGCTACCAGTTGCCCACTAGTTGTCAATGCACCACGCCCTCTCACCCCAGGGCTACTGCCAAGAGCTCATGTCACCCCTATTTTGGACCCCCTTTCTTCACTTCACCCAAGGCAAATTTGACCAATTTTTGAGCCAACCCTGAATGACAGCCAGTTCCCCAGGATTCCAGATCCCATCTACTGATGTTTCATGCCACACAGGCTGAGCCCGAGCGGCACATCTGGGAGGCACATCAGCAGACCTCCCTCACAGATGAGCTTTCATGGGCATGAGCCCTGATTCCTGCCATACCAGCCAGATGGGCTTAGAGTCCTGGCTCCCGCCAAGGACTTAAACAGTGAGAATGTTAAGCTCCCGAGCCTGTTTCCAGCTCTCTGCAATGTGAGGAGACCCTGCTCCTTTGCTTTACTTAACAATGCATTATAAAAACAAGCGAGGCAGTAGCCAGACGATGGGCAGAATCTTCAATACAGAGAATCAGCAGTAATTTGAAGTGACAGTCATCTTGCAGAGCCATTGAGTGATTCAAAGGCATGTTTGCTTTGCAGCAGATTCAGATAGTTTCCGTCCAAATTCCCCTTTCTTTCCCCCAGCACCTACCCATAAGACAGCTCAACCTTGACAAAGACCTTTACCACTATGATTTTTACAGAAGCCCTACATAGTCACCACATATCTTTCCTAGGAATTAAGTTGCTGGGGGATGACTAGAAAGGAGAGAGAGTCTAGCCAAGTAGCAGCGTTTTCTGGAGGCGAGATGGCAGTGGTGATGAGGCCTCCGTGTGGGGAAGGGGTCAACCCTGCCAGCAGGTCTGTTTCTGGCACCATCGACAGACCTCCCTGGAGTCAGCCAGTCCAGCCAGACTGATTAGACCAATTTGCTCTTTATCTGCATCCAGCAGATAAGGGTGCAGCCCCAGAGAGTGACAATGGGATGTGCCGGGGGACGGAGACCGAAGGAACACTGTCGTGGATGAAGAGGGAAAGGAAAGGCGCAGTTCTCCCAAGAGCCTGCTTGTGGGTTTGCAAGTGGTTTCCAGGCAAGATCAGGACACCGAGCTTCAGCAGTGGAGCATGAGGCTGTGGTCCTCCAGCTCCAGACCAGCATGGAGTTTACCTGGAGGGTCCCTCCAAACACTGGCCGCTAGACTCCTCCCCAAGTTCAGATTCACTGGGTTGGGGTGAAGCAAATCTGTAAATCTGAGTATCTGACAGGTTTCCAGGTGATGTGGGAGGAACAGCACCCCGCAGGCCCTGGGCAAAACTTACCACATGCAGCCACCTGAGCCCCATCTTTCAGCTTTTCCTCAGATCCCTCTTCCTCCTCCACTGCTCTTAGAAAACAAAGGGCCTAGAGTCTTTACACCCAAGAAAGCCCCCAGCAGGGAGAGGAGCAGTCACTTCTCTCCCCACAGCCCAGGACAGTGCAGGCTCTGTGATTCGGGACCTTCCTGCACACCGTCGTCCCCATTGGTAGAAGGAGGAAGTTGGAGTAATCTTCAGCAACCCCCGTCCCACATGAGAATTCCCTACTGCCACGGAAGGAAAGAAACGCCCATTTTACCGTGTGAGTTCACCTAAGCCCAGATCATTCACTCTACTACTGGGCACTATATTAAAGGGGTTTTTCTCCCTGGCACTAGGGATTCAACCCAGAGCCTTCACAGTGAGCTACATTTGCAGCCTTCTTTCATTTTTTATTCCTTTGAGACAAAGTTTCACTAAGTTGCTAATTGCCCAGGCTGGGCTCAGATATGGATCCTCCTGCCTCAGTCACCCACAGTGTTAGTACTACAGATGTGCACCCATTATTTTTAAACCCAAGCTCCCAAACCTTTAATTAACACACAGCAGAACCCCTAAATACCTGTCTAAAGACTGTACTAGTCGTCAGCTTTCCCCTTTCCACTTCTGTCTCCTTCTCTTTGCCTCTTCCTCAGATTTAAGATTTGAGCAGAATCTTAGTTCTGTGGATAAAGATGTTCGATCCATTTTTAACACAACTAGCCACCTTTCTCTGGGGGCCTCCAGTATGCCCCCAGAATAGAACCTTGCCCACAACCATCTCCCTCACAGGGCTTCCAGATGCTGCCCCTCTGACTAGTACTAGCTGCCCAGGCTGTACTGGAAGCCACCTGCTTCTTCAGTTCCAAGCTCAGCCTAAATCACACTGGGGAGCCCTAGCAAGCGGCCCACCTTTGCCTCTGACTTTCTAGCAGATTTCTGGCACATACACCAGCCTTGTGGAGCTCCAGGAATTTCCCTGAGGAGCGAGTGGCCCGTAGGCAGACATTCCTGTCTTTGCTGTCAAATGACAGCCTCCACCCAGCCCACTGTCCCTTTTATGCTCCTGCCATCTTACCTCCTCCATGAAACCTGAAAGGGAACTCAGAAAGTGGGTGTTTTGGTTACTTTTTCTTGTTGCTGAGAAAAAAATACCTGACGCCCAAAATTAAGGAAGGAAAGGTTTATTTAGCTCACAGTTTGTGGAGGCTTCAGTCCATACTCGGCTGGCCCCAAGGCAGTGTGGCACATGGCAGAAGGCAATGGTTCATGGCAGCCAGGAAGCAGCAAAAGCAGCAAGAGCAGAAAGGGAGGAGCGGCCAAGAGCAAGGCTCTTTCCCTTCATTACATTGTGTGCAAACTATCGCCCGAGGGCTGGTATAGCACTCACACCCATAATGCCAGCATTGGACCATGGATCAATCATAAACTCTAGAAGCCTGCCCCATGACTGCATGAGGATTTGGGGGGATATCCAGACAAACCATAACAGTGGGGTACAGTTCTGGGTCCAGTTCCCACAAAGTAAAAGATGGCAGGGTACCCACAGGCTATGTATTGTCACAGAGGTTGCTCTGTGGTCTTCTCTGTGTCTTGCAGGTGTCCTGCCAGAAACATGTGTTTCCCTTCTTTGATTGTCACCAACAACTCATGGCCAAAGGCATATCGTCTTAGTGCTGCAAATGAGAACAGAGAAGAAATCAAGAATAAGCATGTGCCCAAGGTCCCACTGCTAGTTTTAGTGCTAAGAACAGTGTCTGTGGTACCTTGGTTTAAACGCAGGGTACTGGTCTTTGCAGCCAGCTGGCCCCTGGTGATGCATGACTGATCAATTCCATGTGCACAGGTAATCACAACACAATGAGGAGGAGGCGTCTTAATGTCCCACAGGGACAATGACTGAGTTCTCCTCTGGCTGTAAATGGAGATGAGAAAACACCTTGTGTTCTTTAACACATGAGGCCATGGGTAACTTTCTGGTGTATTGGACCTGCAAGGCCTGTACAGGAAAACACCATGTTTCCCTGTGTTCCAAACATCTGTGGTCTATGACTCTGCTGCCCTTTCTCTGTGGGTGAGTCTGCCCAGTAAGATGTGTGGCCTTTCTGGCGTCTATGTGGTTTGCTAATGGGGGCAAGGTCTGAACTCCTGATGAAAATTAGATTCTTCAAATCCAAAAGCAGAACTGAGAGATCCACAGATAACAGTGTTTCTCCTTGGTAGTTCACAGGATGCTGGTATATGGCAAAGCTTTTACAGACCGAAAAACATTCTGGAAATTCCTAGTCTTGTGTGAGGAGACCAGTTCCCTTTTAGAGAGTAAAGCCTCTGTGAACTGCAGGAAGGTATCTGTGTCCTGAACCTATTAGCTGTGGCACAACTGTTAAGATGTGACCTTGTGGTATTCAAGGTCAGCACAGGTCCATTTGTTGAGGCCCAGAATTAACTTTTAAGACATTTTGAGTAAAAGCCTAAGAGATCATCTATTCTGGGAGTGACATACTACCAGGAGTGACATACTGGGAGTACATCCTCCTTATGTGCAGTCTTTGGACAAGGATATGATTATCACTTGTTATGTTTTTAAAGAATTGCTGGAGGAAAGAGAGAAAGAAGAAGGAAAGAGACAGAGCAAAAAGGAAGGGAAGGGGAGGGGAGGGGAGGAGAGGGGAGGAAAGGGAAACCATATGTAGTCCTGCAGCCTGGGGAGAAGCCTCGGCCTGGGGAGGCCCACTGAGCGCCAGGACTGTCTGGGCTCCGCAGAGCAGCAAGGAAACCCATGGAGTAGTAGGTGCGAGGGCACGGGCCTGAGGCTGCAGGACAGGATCCATGGGGCCAGGCTGGCCTGCTCAGTCCCCACCCTGTAGCCAGACACAGCCCTGAATGATACCCAGGAGGAGGCAGGGCGGCAGAAAGATACACAAAGGGATTGAAGAGGATTTTGTCCCCAAGCCGCATCAGCCATTTCCTGGAATCCCTGGGAGTGAGTTCTGAGAATCAGAAGGGGGGCAGGGGCAGCGCCTGGAGGGAGAGCAGGGCAGACGACTGGCAGAAGGCTGTGAGGTATGGGAGGGAGACAGGCCCCCTCTCAGGTCAGGCCAGGCTGGCAGGCTGGGTTCAGAGAGGCAGGAAGGCGTGCAGGGCTCTTCTCCCCGAGCCCGCAGTGCTTCTGCTCCCCAGAGGCAGCCCCATCTCCAGCAAAGCTCCCACCTCTCTCTCGACCCTCCTTCCTAGCACATCCCAAGCTTGAAAAGCCTTGGACATGGATGAGCTTCTCCCCAGCTGCCTGGCCCAAAAAGGCAGGAAACAATGGCCTTGCCAGGCTGCCTCCTGTCTGTCCGCTCCTACCTCCTCCTGGAGGCCCCTCCTGTCCTCAGCCCTTTCTTCTCTCCCCATTCTTCTGCTCCTACCCCTCCCCTCTGCATTCCTCAGTTCCCTGTGGGAGCTGTCTCCCTCCACCTTCCCTCACCCCTTCGGTGGTTCCACAGCCACAGCTCCCAGGAGAGGACAAATGTGGGTCTTCATCCTGAACTTCCCTCCATGTTCAGCAAGAGAAGTGTGGAGCTGAGAGCAACAAAGTGCACTTCATTACCAGGAAAGGTGCCGCAGCCCGTTTGCTCCACCTCACTCTAAGTCTCTTCCCACCAAGGGGACAGCCCATAAGGCCAGCCACCCCTCATGGGGGAGACCTCACATTTCCAAGATGCTACCCCACTGCACTTAATATTCCCTCTTCCGTTGCTCTCCCTATCACCCACCAGATCCAAGGAAAGAGGAGGACGGCTTACACCTGTAACACTGTGGTAGCTACAGGCATCGGCTGTTGAAATCACCAAGTTACAAAACAAGACAGGCAGCTTCACACACTAAAGCCCCAGACACTCTGAGAGAGGACCAGTGTCTTTTGACAGTGTAAGACAATGCCACAAAGATCACACTTCCCAAACCAACGTATTTGCTGATTAGACCATCCTGGAAAATCTGTTTATGTGTGGAGATCATACATATTGTTCCAGACTTGGCCCGGAAGATATGTGGAGTAGGGGTTCAGATAACATGTTTCCAATTGCTTGGGTGTTTATCTAAAGAGAAGAACACATGAGTGGAAAGACAAAGGGTCTGCAAAGTGAAAGGTTGGGAGCAGCTCTTCCTGCAGATCAATAGCAGCACTCCTCCTGACGTCTGACATTTTAATGTCAATGGTAGGTTTTCCTTAAAATAAACAAAGATGAATGCTCTTCCAAGAGGAGTTCCCCATCAGGGCATGGTCTCAGGATTGTCTAAGATTGGTTTAGGAAAGACAGGCCTCTTTGCCCAGGGCATGTTTTTATCTCACCCAACTTCTACCTGGTGTACCCAGTGACTGAATCATAAGTACATGACTTTTGCAAATGACATTATCATACAATACCCACACAGAAGCAAGGTATGAGGCTCCCTAAAGGCATCTATGACCTTAGGCTTGTCTCGTCCATTCTTGTAGCCAGCCTTCCAGCTTGAGAAGCACTGTCCACCTATCCAGCTAACAGTGCTGAGAAACTTACTTATTCTTCTTGACTATACTGATAGTTTCTTCCCTGGAGCTTCCAAAGCATCAGTCTGTCTCTTACAGCCTCTCTGAACAGTGCTCTGGCTTTTTAAATGCCCACATAGCAGAGAGCACTGAGGCTCTGTGCAGAAACCCCATACCCCTCTTGGAGGCTCTTTGCCACAGTGCTTGATGTGTTTTTCCTCTCATGGGCCTGGCATAGGTGACCTGTCTTGGGAAAGCTGCCTTTGAGATACTGGAACCACTTCCCCTGCACACAAGCAAAAAACCTGACCTGTCTGGGAGTTGAGGACCTCAAAGTGGGACACCTGGCTCCCTTGTTTCATAGAATATTTCACTCAAGATTGGTCCCAGGAGATAGAAACCATATCAGTTATTTTAATAGAGAGGATTTAATATAAAGAACTATTAACTCGGTTTTTAGAATAGAAGAAACAAACAGAATATGAAGATAACAAATAGGTGGCAACTATAAGCAGCTAACATCCTTAGTTTGAAGAATTATTAAGTTTTAACAGCTAAGAGGAAGACATAGAGAATTATACGCTCAGGAAATGTACTGCTGCTCTGCTGGGATTGCAAGAGGTAGGTGCAGAGCTGGGATTTATACCCCTGCAAAAGAGGAGCAATTGCTGATGGTATTTCTGAGGGAGAACCATGGGCCTGCTCTTACAAGTGTTGGAAAAACCACCAGCTGCTTCTGGGTGGAACTGTCAAAAAAAGTCATCAAGATAGAAGTTCTTGGGGCTGGGGATTTAGCTCTGCGGCACAGTGCCTGCCTGGCAAGTGCAACATCGTGAGTTAGATTCCCGGTACAGGAAAAAAAAGAAAAAAGAAAAAACATAGAGGTTCTTAGGATGGTGAAAAAACATAAATAATGGTCTGGTAAGTGATCTGATCAGGAACAGGATACATAAGGGGGAACAGACAGCAACAGAAAGGAGCATTACCCAAACCATACTAGGGGCTGGCTTCCAAAGATGGGATTAACTTGTTCACCTATAGAAACATTAGAACAATGTGACCCACAATGAATTCCAAGGGCAACTGGAAATTAACAGAAGACAGAGCCAAAACTGAAACTGAGATCCAATTCTACATGCTCATGTCCTTACGCTCATATTCAGGAACAGAGCTATTTCTCTTTCATATATGAGTTGGTTTATTCTGGGAGACAATAAAGGAGATGCCTACTAAAGACACTTTACCAGCTAGGACATTGAATATGGAAACTTCAGACCACCTTAAAGAGAGAGAACTCCAAGGGTTCTTCCCACCCATTGGCAGCCATTAGAAGATAAGAAAACAGAATCACAGTGGGCCCAAGTGATAAAATCATAGCAGGATTAGCCTTGGAACTGGAGTCATTCATTCTGTATTTACGGAGCATCTATTGTTCTGGCCACAGGTCTAAGTCCTGGGGAAGTGTCAGTGAATAAAAGTGTCTGGGAATTGGAAAATGTGAAATATAAGTTGCACTGTGGCAAGGAGGCTTTTGTCTACATCATTTCCCTCCAAAGTGCTCTCTTTATTGCATTGGAGTGGGGCTTCTTTTTTCACTTTATCTGCAGTTCTCATCGAGAAACAAAACACAATGAGTAGCTACAGTTAAAATGGGAAGTTTGTGGCAGTGACAGAACACAAAATGCATAGACACTTTGTTTCTTTCCATCCTCTGATGGCCACGATAAGACCATCTCAAACTTAGACATGCTGCTTTCTGTGATTGGTATATCCTAAGAACCTTTGTCCCGATGGTTTGGGTAGCTAAATCTATATCCACACTCCCCTTGGAAAGGTATCAGTTTCAGGCCTGAGTGACACAACAGCTCCCCCTGGTGTTCTGGAGGAATGACTTCTGTTAACAATGGTAGAGGTCTAGCCAGGATGAAAATCAGCAGCCTAGCAACTCTGCCATGACAATAACAAAAAGAACTTTTAAGAGATCTAGTGGAAAGCCTCAAAGAAAGTGGAGAAGTCCTAGTTTACCTTGAGGTCGAAAATTCTTAGGGTCTATTCTCCACATTTACAATGATACAAGGCCAATTTTTGTTGGTGACAGATACAAATGTCTTCTGAAGCAAGCAAGCCAAAAAAGAAGACAGATGAAATACTGGGGAAAAAAAT